GGCCCTGCGGTGGAAGCCCAGAAAGCAGCGGCGGACGGGCTCGGGGCTTGCTGCGCTCCGCTCCCTGCGAGGAGGAAGGCCAAGCGCTGCGTGGAAACGCCGCTCCCCCCGCGGCCGCCCCGCGAGCTTCAGCTGCGTGGGCTGCGATGCCCAGCGGAGGCGAGCCAGCAGCGCCACCTATTGGCCGCGCGCGGAACCGGCTCGGGCTGCCCCCTGGGCTGCGTCGCTGGGCGCCTGTGGGTGGGTGGCCGAGGGAGCCGGGACAAGAAGCAGCAGGAGGAACAGCGTCATGGGGTGCCGGAAGGTCCCGTCCTGCCCGGGATCCTGAGCTGGTTGTGCCACTTTCCAAGGCCATCTCCGTTGGCACAGCCGGGAACTTTTACTGGCACCTCCCATCCCCCTGGCTTTTCTGTCCAGGATGGTCCCTGATGTAGAAATGGGTTGAGCAGCTCTTGCACTGTCCTCCCTTTTGGGCCGCCCCCCCCCCCAGGCACTGCAGAGAGCCCCCTCCCCACATGACTTTTCCTGCTCCCAGCCTCTTCCAGCAGAGGCCGTTGTCTGCAAGGACAGCTTCAGGCTCAAGAGAGGCACCAGGTGCTGCTGAGGCCCCAGAGCCAGCCTGTAGGTTTCAGTCAGTCAATCGGAAGGGACCTTGGAGGTCTCCTACTCGAGCAGGAGACCCCGTACCATTCCAGGCAGGTGGCTGTCAGTCTCTTCTTAAAAACCTCCAATGATGAGGCACCTCCAAGGCCAGCCTTCCACTACTTAACTGTCCTCACTGGTAGGAAATTCCTCTTTAATCCCAGGTTGCTTCTCTCCTTGATTAGTTTCCATCCATTGCATCCTGTCCTGCCCTTGGAGAATAAGTTGAGCCCTCCTCTTTGTGGCAGCCCCTCAAATACTGGACTACTGGTATCATGTGCCCCTGATCCAGTGATGGCTAACCTTTTTGCCATCGCATGCCAAAAGCGGGGGGAGCCCACACCCATAATTCAATGCCCCCCACCCCCCGCACATGTGCACGTGACAACCCCCCCCCGGATTCCACTCGCTTTTGGCACACACTGGCAAAAAGGTTACCGGTGGGCCCATTTTTTTGCCCTCCCCAGGCTCCAGAGGCTTTTTTGGAGCCTGGGGAGGGTGAAAACGGCCTCCCCCACCACCACCACCCCGGAGGCCCTCCAGAGGCCGGAAACGGCCTGTTTCCTGACTTCCGGAGGCCCTGGAGGCCCAAAAATCAGTTGCCTGGTGTGTGCATGCGTGCTGGAGCTGAGCTAGGGCAATGCTCTAGGAGCAGGAGCAGAAGCAGAAGTGAATGAACTTCCTGCCTTCCTTTATGTCTGCTTAGCACAGCCAGTTAGTCATCTTTGTAGCAATTAAAGTTACAGAACATAGTTTTCTATATATTATCTACCCAACCGTAGGATAAGCATCCAACAGCGTGCCCACAGATAGGGCTCTGGATGCCACCTGTGGCACATTTATTTATTTATTTATTATCAGATTTATATACCGCCTTTCTCCCGAAGGACTCAGGGCGGTGCACAGCCAAAGTAAAAACATAAATACAAACATTAAAATACAGTTAAAAAGATATATATGCGTTTGGCCCCATAGTTAAAAAACAATAACAAACCTATTAAAAACATTTTAAAAAGTGTTAAGGCAGCCCGGCTTGCTGAAAAAGAAAGGTTTTAAGGGCACGGCGGAAGGCACCGAGGTCTTGGATTCTTTGTATCTCTGGGGGCAGCTGATTCCAGACGGCAGGTGCCCCCACAGAAAAGGCCCTCCCCCTGGGGGCCACCAGTCTACATTGCTTGGCCGATGGCACCCTGAGGAGGCCCTCTCTGTGGGAGCGCACGGGTCAATGGGAGGTCGTCGGTAGCAGCAGGCGGTCTCGAAGCTATCCAGGTCCTATGCCATGGAGCGCTTTAAAGGTGGTAACCAACACCTTGAAGCGCACCCGGAAGACCACTGAAAGCCAGTGCAGCTCACGCAGGAGAGGTGTTATGAGGGAGCGCCATGTGGCTCCCGTAACTACCCGCGCAGCCGCATTCTGGACCAGTTGGAGCCTCCGGGTGCTCTTCAAGGGGAGCCCCATGTAGAGAGCATTGCCGTAGTCTAGGCGAGAGGTGACGAGGGCATGAGTGACTGTGCACAAGGAATCCCGATCTAGGAAGGGCCGCAACTGGCGGATCAGGCGAACCTGATAAAAGGTCCCCCTGGCTACAGCCATCAGATGTTCCTCCAAGGACAGCTGTGTATCCAGGAGGACGCCCAAATTGTGAGCCCTCTCCGTGGGGGCCAAAGACTCGCCCCCAATAGTCAGTGATGGTGTTAACTGACTATATCGGGATGCCGGGAACCACAGCCACTCAGTCTTGGATGGTTTGAGCCTGAGCCTGTTCCTCTCCATCCAGATCTGCACGGCCTCCAGGCACTGGGACATCACTTCAAGGGCATCATTGGGGTGGCCCGGGGTGGAGATGTACAGCTGGGTGTCATCAGCGTACTGGTGGTACTTCACCCCGAAGCCACGGATGATCTCACCCAGCGGCTTCACATAGATGTTGAACAAAAGGGGCGAGAGGACCGACCCCTGAGGCACTCCACATATGAGGTGTCTCGAGGTCGACCTCTGCCCCCCTGCCAACACAAACTGCGACCAGTCCAAGAGAAAGGAGGAGAACCACCGTAACACGGTGCCCCCCATCCCCAACTCTTCCAACCGGTGCAGCATGATACCATGGTCGATGGTATCAAAAGCCGCTGAGAGGTCTAACAGGACCAGAACAGAGGAGCAACCCCTGTCCCGAGCCCTCCAGAGATCATCTACCAATGCGACCAATGTCATTTCCGTGCTGTACCCGGGCCTGAAACTCGACTGGAATGGATCCAGATAAGACGTTTCCTCCAGGTATTGTGGAAACTGTTGTGCGACCACACTCTCAACAACCTTCACCACAAAGCGAAGGTTGGAGATGGGATGGTAGTTGGCTAATACTGCCGGGTCCAGGGAAGGCTTCTTGAGGAGGGGCCTCACCACGCCTCTTTCAAGGCCGTGGGGAAGTAACCCTCACTCAACGAAGCATTGATAATTCCCTGGAGCCAGCCCCGTGTAACCTCCCGGGAAGCCAGTACTAACCAGGAGGGACACAGGTCCAACAAACATATGGCCGCACTAAGTCATCAGGGGTCACAGAGTCAAACTCTTCCCAGTTAAATTCTCAAAACTATTCCTCGCCACCCTGCCCGAATCTACCCAGTCAGAGTCCAAATCCCCCCGAATCTGTGCGATTTTGTCATACAGATACTGTCCGAAATCCTCAGCCCTGCCTTCCAGGGGGTCCTTCTGCACTCCTGGATGTAGCAGGGAGCGGCTCACCCTGAACAGGGCGGCCGCCCTGATGACGCAATAAGAGCGGAAAAGTAATTAAACTTTGCCGTCTTTATCGCCACTGGGTAGGTCTTAATATGCGACAGTCAGATTCAGCGAGACTGGCCCTCCAACCGCTCTCCAGGCGTCTTTTCCAGCGCTTCATCTCCCTCAGCTCCTCGGTAAACCATGGAGCCACATGGGATCGGCACCGGGTCAGAGGCCGCAAAGGCACGACTCGATCTAAAGCCCCACCAGCCACCTGATCCCAGGCAGCTACCAGGTCTTCGGCTGAGTCGTGTGCCAGATCCTCAGGAAATGGCCCAAGCTCCGTCTGGAACCTATCAGGATCCATCAGGCGCCTGGGGTGGACCCACCTTATTGGTTCCACCTCTCTGTGGCGGGGTGTAGCGGTTCGAAGGTCCAGGCGAAGGAGCGAGTGATCTGTCCATGACAAGGGTTCCATCTCTATATCCCCTATAAGAAGACCACCCAACCACTGGCCAGAGACAAAAATCAGGTCCAGAGTGTGTCCCCCCCTGTGAGTGGGGCCATGAACTAACTGGCCCTCATGGAAGCCATGAACTCCTGGGCCATCTCAGACGTTTCACCAACGGATGGCAGGTTGAAATCACCCATGACCATAAGCCTGGGTGTATCAACTGCCACCGCGGCTATCACGTCGAGTAGCTCAGGTAGGGCCGTTGCCATGCGGCAGGGAGCCAGGTACGTTAGCAACAAGCCCATCTGAACCCTCTGACCCCACCTCACAAAGAGGGACTCACACCCAACAATCTGTGGCACAGTGGTCTCCCTCGGACCAAGACCTTCTTTAATAATAACCGCCACACACACACACTCCTGCCCCGGGCCCTCGGCTGATGGAATGCTCTGAAGCCTGGTGGGCACATCTCAACCTCCCTCCCTCCAGGCCCAGCCAGGTCTCCGTAATACCCGCCAGGTCCGCTCCCCCCTCCTGTATAAGATCGTAGATGAGGGGGGCCTTATTTACCACGGACCTGGCATTGCGCAGCATCAGCCGAAGGCCCCGGTCCTGAGCCATAGGTTCACCATCACAGCCCGTCCTTCTTTTCTCTAGATCAGCCAAACCCAAATCCTGCAACCGTTCTTCATGTTTTTGTCTGCAGGCCCTTCATCATCCTATTTGCTACTCTTTGCACTCAACATCTTTTTTGTAGTGTAGTGACCAAAACTTACTAAGGTTTTATAAAGCAGTACTAATGATTTCGATTCTATGCCTCTGTTTATACAACTCAGGACTGCATTGGCCTCTTTGGCTGCCACCGCACACGGCTGGCTCATGTTTAAAGGCTCGGCCACTGGGACTCCAAGGTCCATCTCGCACCTACTGTTTTTGAGCCAGGTGCTGCCTAATCTGCACTTGCACCTTTGGCTTTTCTTCTACCTTGCTTTGCTCCACGTTAAATGCCGTTCTGTTGGAGAGGGCCCGTTGTCCCCATCTGCCAAGATCTGGGGCTGGACCCATTGGGATGCAGGTGACCAGAGGGGCCCCGCCTCAACAGGGAGGCCGGGCTCTTCTTGCCACTGTCAGCCCCGGTGCGGATAAAGAATCCTGTAACCATCCCCATCAAGGTTTGGAGCCTTTCATTTCGGAACCTTTTAATTGGCAGACGCTCTTACATGTGTTACACAACCAGTGAATCGTCTTCGTCTTCGTCTTCATCCAACTCGGGGGGGAAATGGCGGATGACGTGGAGCGTGGAGAGGTCCTCACTGTCAAAATAGTTGAGGTTCAGGTAACGGGCGATGCGGCGCCCAAGGCTGTCGACCAGCTGTTTGTGGGGGAGAGAAAGAAGTCGGAGCCGAGCTGCAGCAATCGCCCTTAGACTTTATATACAGTCTGTCATGTAGTGCTTTTCCAGCCCTCCCTAAGCGGTTTACAGAGTCAGCCTCTTGCCCCCCAACAATCTGGGTCTTACATTTTACCCACCACAGAAGGGCGGAAGGCTGAGTCAAGCTTGAGCCGGTCAGGATCAAACTCCTGGCAGTGAGTAGAATTAGCCTGCAGTACTGCATTCTAACCACTGCGCTACCACGGCTCTCCAGCATAAGGCCAGACACGGGGAGGGGTCCTACTCCAGCCCCTCCTCTCTACATCCCCTTCCCTCTTTGGGCAGCTTCTTTTGGGTTCAGGGTCCTCGGCCCGTCCACAGGCAGGCACCCTGATCCCTGCAGCAGGTGGGCCATACGAGTTGGGTTGCCCCTTCCCCTGTGCTTACTGGCATGCTTGGACTACAGTTTTCATGGGCCTCTTCCAGACGGATGCGGTGCTGAGATTTCGGGTGTGCAGGGAGGGTGGCAGAATGGCAGATCCCCAGGCCAGCAAAACAGGCAGAGCCAGATGGAGGCTCATTTGTCCATCTGCAGCCTGCTTCTGCCACCCTAAAGTCTCTTGGGAAAAGTATGGCCAGGCAGGGGCAATGGGGTGGGGGCAAAGCTGAGGGGTAAGGGGCTGTTCTCCTCCCTCGTGAGGCGCTCAGGGCCCCATGGAAGGGTGGGGGCTTCCTCAGCTGGGCAGGAAAGGATTCTCTCTCTCTCTGGGTGGATGCACAGACCAATCATAGAAAGCTAGATGCTCAATTAACGTCCCTCGTCTTCCCTTGGAATTGCCAGGGCCAGGCTGGCCCAAGGATGATAAGCCACCTCCTCCCAGGGGGCTGCAGGCTGGGGGGGGAGGGTCTTTCCAACTGGAGCAAAAGACGGGGGGGGGGAAGGAAAATCCCAGGTTGGAGGAGCAGCAGAATGTTGCAGAGGTGGGGGGGGGAAGTTTGGCAATCTACTTGACCCCGTCCTAAACATAATCCCTATCACTCACATCCCACAAGCCCTGCTGGCTGGGGAGCATGGGAGTTGTGGTTCAACCAGCTAAGAACATCTATTAATATTTTTATCTGCTGTGTTTTATAATGGATGATTTTGACGTTTTCAGAGTTTTTATGTTACAAGCCCCCAGAGTCGTTAGATATGAGGTGGGCGGCAATAAATTTTATCAATAGACAGACAGACAGACATATAGATAGATAGATAGATAGATAGATAGATAGATAGATAGATAGATAAGAAATAGGTGAGAGAAATGAGAGAGAGATGTATATAATAGATATATATATAGATATAGAGAAAGATACAGAAATATAGATAATAGAAATAGATGATAGATAGATAGATAGATAGATAGATAGATAGATGATAGATAGATAGATAGATAGATAGATAGATAGATAGATAGATAGATAGATAGATAGATAGATAGATAGACAGATGATAGACATAGAGATAGGTGATAGATGATAGATGATAAAAAAATGGATGGATGGATGGATGGATGGATGGATGGATGGATGGATGGATGGATGGATGGATGGATGCCCAGATGGAGGAAGATTGTTTTGGCACATTTCCACAACCCAAAATGGGGCAGCCTTCAGGATGGGGTGAGGCCAGCTTGCCAGATGCTGGGAGGATTGGGGAGGAGATGGACTTCCAGCCATTTGCCTTCACCCTCTTGCTGCCCCATGGAACAGCCTCCTCCTTCTCCCCAGCTCTCACCTCATGGTTCTTGGTCAAGTGCACCAGGGTGAGGACTTCGAGGCGGTACCCGTTGATGATGAGGCTGTAGAAAAGCTGTCCATGGGCTGGAAGAGGACAACACCAGATGATGGCCCTGGGCCTTCAACAGATGGTTTCATGCTTCCCGGCAAAGGTCTTCTCAGCCACCCCTTGGTTGAAGGCCTCAAATCTCCTTTCACTGACCGCAGATGTGGCAGCTTAATGATAGTTGGAATAACTTTCAGCCATGGTTGAAACCATGGAGAGACTAAAAGTAGATCTCCCCCCATGATTTTACGGGTGCTTCTGGATTGGACTGATTCACACAACCCCAAAGCCACTGGTGGTTGGGATTTATGACTTAATGTAGCTTGTGAGTCCGGTTGCTATGCTTTGGTCAACGAACTGCTTCAGTTCATCCATGCTAGTGACTTACTCTGGTTTCTGAGTTAATTCATTTTCCAGGTTTAGACAATTACAGGCTAATCGGAAGTCCTGGGTTGCTGCAATGTGCTAAACTGGGGGTTTTAAACTTTAAGGCTTGTGGACTTCAAGTCCACAAGCCTCAAAGTTGCCAAACTTGAAGAGTCCTGGATTAAATCACCCATAAGTGAAGAAACCAACCAACAACTAACAAAGTTTATAACGTGTACTTGGTCTCTCAGTGCCCAGTTGAGCCCACCATAAACAAACTCATGTGTTGGTCCTCAGTATTGCAGGCCCACAACATCTCCTTAGTTGTGGTGCCTTAGATTCCCCAAAAACTTCCTCTCTTTCTAGTGTTGACCTTTGGGGGGTTGGAGGCATCGGCCAGACCTTTGCTAAGCAACTTGGAGGCCAGTGGTCATTTCCTGCCAGGAGCCGCTCAACTCTTGACCCAGAAGGAAGCCAAGGGGGGGAAGGAACGTCTGGTTTGGGTGGGAAAGGGCGACGTCCCAGGGGAGTTTCAGAAAAGTGCCTCGCCCTAGGAGGGGGCCCGCAAAGGGGGCAGGGCAAGGAGCAGGGGGGGGGGATGGGCCAGAGGGGGGGCTTTGAGGAGGGCGGGGGGGGGGGCTTGGGGTCTCCTCTCTTGCCTGAGCCTGGTGGGGCCCCTGTCCATTCAGCTGAGGAGCCCAGGGTGGCCGTTCCGTCCTTCAGGGCTCGACCCACGGCAGGGATCGGGGCTCCGAAGGGGCTTGGATTGACTGGATCGGCTGCACAGCTGGCAAGCAAGCTACAGGCAGTCCTTCACTTACAACGGTTCATTTAGTGACAAGAGCACTGAAAAAAGTAACTCATGACCGTTTTTCACAGCTACGACTGTCCCAGCCTTCCCCACAGGCTCAAAATCCAGGCACTTGACAACCAACTCATACTTATGACGGTCGCATAGCCTGAGGTCCTGCTTTGCAACCTTCGGACAAGTGAAATCAACGGGGGAGCCAGATTTGCTGAACCACCGCAGTACTAACTTAACGACCACAGTTGACTCATTTAACAAGTGTCTCGCTTAGCGACAGAAATGTTGGGCTCCATTGTGGTCGTAAGTCCAGGACTGACTAGGAGAGGGAGAGGGAGAGGAGGAGCAAGGGCCCCGGGGGGTACCGTCTCGCTGGCCGACCAGCCGGACGTAGATCTGGTGCAGGGGCCCCTCGTGCCAAAGGATGCCCCGGATGTAGAACTGGTAGTACTCCCGGATGTGGTTGATGATCAGCCGCCGCTTGCAGAGGTTGCTGACCAGGACCCAGAGGCTGGCCACCAGGCTGAAGATGAAGAAAGCGGAGAGGTCCTGGTAGGCCTGCAAGGGGGGAAGGGAGGGGCCGGGCTCAGGAGGAGAGGGGGCCCTGCTCGCTCCCTTGGAGGAACCCCCGCTGGAAGGAGCTCGGGAAGAAACGGGGGGCACCCGGGGGGTTTCCTGGGAGTGGGGGGGGTTGCCTTGGTCCCCAGCAGGGAGGCAGGGAAAGCTGGGAAGCCATGGGACCCTGCAAATCCTCCTCCTCTTTCCCAACTCTGCAATCCCCACTACTGCTAGCACAGCTGATGTTCCCCAGTTGGGTCACGAAATGTCTGCAAGAAAACCATCCAGTTCAGAGAGCACCCAGGACCCCACAGTCCTTTTCTTCCTCCTCCTTCTCTCCGCAAACCCCACTCTCTTCTAGCACTGATGTTGTTCCCTAGTTGGGTCATGAAAAGTCTGCAAGAAAACTACCCAGCTCAGAGAGCACCACAATCCTTTTCCTCCTCCTCCTCCTCCACCAGCCCATGAACCCCCCCCCTTCCAGCACTGACCATGCTACCTAGGTTTGGGCCATGGAAGGTCTGGAAGAAAACCACCAAACTCCGGGAGCAGCAAGGAACCCAGTGGATGAATCTCTCCTTCTTTGTTTTAAGTTCCTCAGCTGGAAAATGGGCTGGGAACAGGGACTTGCCTGGGTTACTGCACTGTGTCCTGAGCATGATTTGCAAGTGGGGCACCCCGCACTCAGGGAGGGGGGGCTGGGTTGGGGGGCGATGGCCGCCGAGCTGCAATCCAAGGCAGAGGCTGCCTGCCCCAACAGCTGGGTCCCTCCAGAGGTTTTGGCCAGCAACTCCCAGGCTCTCTAACTCTGGGCCCTCTTGCCTGGCCCCCAAGGCCAGGAGCGGCTGGGGAGCAACGCAGCCCCCAAAGGATCGGACTAGAGGTGGAGCGAGGGGAGTCCTGGGGGTCCCGAGTCAGAGCAACGAGGAGGACTCACCGCAGACATTTTGAAGTAGAAGATGCTGGCAACGACAGAGATGACAAAGCAGAGCAGGCCTTTCCAGACAGTGTCCTTGTAATACTCCATCACAAACACTGCGGGAAGGACGCACAGTCAGGGCGGCCCTCGGCTCCTGCCAGGAGGGGCCTGTGGAGGGTCTTCGCCCCAGAGCCGCCCCCTCCCACCCCCAGGCCAGGCCTTCAAAACTCACAAAGTCTCCTGTGCAATTCAAAGTCTCTCTCCAGTCTGAGCACAAGATTAAAAGGCCTCCCCATCTCTTCTGGGCAACGGATGGATCGCCTGATCTCGGATGCTGACCCACCCACATGGCCAGCAGCTTCAAGAGCCAGAAAGGCCACAGAGTCCCACATTTGGACTTGCCAAGAAGCCGGGGCTGAAATCCGGCAGGTTCTAACAGGTTCTGGAGAACCAGTAGTGGAAATTTTGAGTAGTTCGGAGAATCAGCAAATACCACCTCTGGCTGGCCCCAGAGTGGGGTGGGAATGGAGATTTTGTAATATCCTTCCCCTGCCACGCCCACCAAGCCACGCCCACAGAAGCGGTAGTAAAAAAATTGGAATTTCACCACTGCAAGAAGCCCCTCTGTGGCTCTGGCATGCGTATCCTGGGCCAGAGAGCTCTGCCATTTCCCGTGCTGGAGATCAGCGTCACATCCCGGCCACTGGCCACAGCCTGCTTCCCTAAATGCCCATGGAGATTCTCCATCCTCCAGGACACGGATGTCTTGTCCCAAAGGTGCTTTTTCCAAACGGCAAAGGGACTTTCTTGGTTTTTCTTTGAAGATGTTTCACTTCTTAGCCAAGAAGCTTCTTCAGTTCTGACTGAATGGTGGCTGCGTGTGTGAGTGGAAGGAGGACTCTCAGAAAGTGTGCTCATGACCAGCTGTCTGCAAGGACTGTAAATCCTCCCATTCCCCACCATTCAGGCAGAACTGAAGAAGCTTCTGGGATGAGAAGCGAAACGTCTTCAAGGAAAAACAAAGGAAGTCCAGTTTTGGACTCCTTCCCTAAAGGTCTCCTTGGACGGGCATTCTTCCACTGCCGTTTCTGGCTCTCCATATAGAGAAGCTCACCTGTGCCAGCACCAAACGGTGGGATCTCCTGGCTGCTTTCTTTCTCCAAACCACAACCAGCTGCAGGAACAGCTGCACTCGGTTACTAAATGAGCCCATTTTCTGGATTCGCCTGAGGCCCTGAGCTGTAAGCCAGAGGTGCTTTTCCCAAAGGCAACTGGACTTTCTCGCTGGTCTCCTTGAAAACATTTCACTTCCCAGCCAAGCAGCTGAACTCAACTTTGAAAGCTGAACTTTGAGAATTGAAGAAGCTTCTTGGAGGAGAAGCGAAACGTTTTCAAAGAAAAAAAACCCAAGAAAGTCCAGTTGTCTTTTGGGGAAAGCACCTTTGGGGCAACCGGAACCTGGGTCAGTGGTCCCCAACCTTCCTGGCTCTGTGGAGGTGGGGGCAGCAGGGGGGAGGAGTGGGGATGGGTTTGCCGCATGCGGTCACCCACCTCTGGGGCGGCCCAGTTCTCAACCGGCCACAGCCAGTACGGGCACTGTGGACCAGGGATTGGAGACCCCTGACCTGCGTGACTGAGGGTCTCCATAGACATCGAACTCCAGACTTATCCAATGGGTTGAAAACCATTTTGCCGCCTTCTATATAAGGACTGCCATACCGTTTTTTCCAACCTTAGCCCAATAGATTTACTCTACAGGTAGTCCTCGACTTACAACGGCCCTGGAAAAAGGGACTTATGACCGTATTTTACACTTACAGCCGTTGCAGCCTCCCCAGGGCCACAGGATCAAAATTCAGACGCTTGGCAACCGACTCATACTTATGACGGCTGCAGTGTCCCTGAGGTCACATGATCCCCTTTTGCGACCTTCTGATGAGCCAAGTCAGTGGGGAAGCCAGATTCACTTAACAACCATGAGACTAACTTAACGACTGATTTACTGAACAACTGTGGCAAGAAAGGTCATAAAATGGGGCAAAATTCACGTAACCACTGTCTCGCTTAGCAGCAGAAACGTTGGGCTCGGTTGTGGCCGGAAGTCGAGGACTTGCCTGTACTCCGCAGTCTCTCCTTGATTCTCCTCGTTTCTAAACCTGAATTTGGGTCCAGTTGCAGACCAGCTGTTCTGGGGCTTTGGGCCAGTTGCTTTTCAACAACCTTCCCCCAACTTTGCCCTCCCAGAGATGCCACCTTTCCACCCCACAAGTGCCCAGGCAGTGGGGCTGAAGGCTCAGGGTGTAGAAGAGGCGGCTTTGGCCCTGAAAGCTTCTCCTGGGGCCCCCTCATTTCCTTAAAAATGTTGCGTAAAATTGGGCCCCAAACACTGCGGAATAAACGCTTTGCCTGCATTTCTGACAAACCCTTCAGAGGCTGGTTGGTTGATTTATGATGTTACGCCTTTATCGTTTCTATGAATGACTCAAGGCGGTGGACACACTGAATACGCCTTCCTTCTGTGGCAAGAAGTACCACTATAGCAAGAAAGGTCGTAAAATGGAACAAACTCGTTTAACAATTGTCTCGCTTAGCAACAGAAATGCTGGGCTCTATTGTGGTCGTAAGCCGAGGACTCCCTGTCGTTTGAGATTCCTTGACTGTCCTGTTTGGCATTGAAGGCCTGCGACCATCACATTCTAAGATTTGTTTCTGTGCGTTCTTCAGTGTAAAAACGAGCGGATTGCACAATCACACTTTGTTCCTCACAGTCCTCCTTACGGGCCAATTGCCCCGGCCCCTGAGGCTCCATCCAGGTGTATCCATCAACCCCCCCCACAAATCTGTGCCTGGTTGCCCAGCCGAGCCCTTCTTCACCACAGGCTGTATGCAGGACCTGGAGAGGCTCGGGGGCCCTTCCCCAACCCCCATTCTGCCCCCCCCACCCTGGAAAACTCCGTACCTTTGGGCTGCTGCACCTGGAAGGGGAAGTATTTGTTTTCCTGGAGTTGCTGGTGCAGGTACTCCTCCGAATTGACAAAGCCGCAATACCAGAGGGCCAGGGGGCCCCTCAGAATGGACTTCAGAAGCATCCTCCCAGGGGTTCTGGGAAGGAAGGAAGGAAGAAAGGGAGGGAGGGAGGGAAGGGAAGGAACAAAAGCAGGAAAAGAGAAAAGAGAAGGAAGGAGGGAAGGAGGGAAGAGAAGGAAGGAAGGAAGAAAAGGGAAGGGAGGAAAGAAGGAAAAGAGAAAAAAGGGAGGGAGGAAGGAAGGGAGGGAGGGAAGGAAGAAAGGGAGGGAGGGAGGGAGGGGAAGGAACAAAAGCAGGAAAAGAGAAAAGAGAAGGAAGGAGGGAGGGAGGAGAAGGAAGGAAGAAAAGGGAAGGGAGGAAAGAAGGAAAAGAAAAAAGGAAAGAAGGGAGGGAGGGGAAGGGGCAAAAGCAGGAAAAAAGGAAGGAAAAAAGAAAAGAGAAAAGAGAAGGAAGGAGGGAGGGAGGGAGGAGAAGGAAGGGAGGAAAGAAGGAAAAGAGAAAAAGAAGGAAGGAAGGAAGGAAGGAAGACGTGAGCAGAGAGAGAGGGGCAACACCTGGCAAGGAAAGGACCCCCACCTCCCTCAGATCAGCAGGATAAGAGGTAGCCCTTGGGGGGAAGTGTGGGGGGACCCTGAGCCCCTTGTCACACCCCAGGAAAGCCCACCCAGCACGTTGACACTGCCCTGAAGCTACCCTGGTAACCATCCCCCCCACCTCCCAAACAAAAGCAGGATAAAGTACTAGGCCTCCTTTTCCTCTGATCTGGAAGACCCAGCAGAGGCTCAGTGGCATGGGCAGGGGGTCTGCTCTGCCCCCTCTCTGGCAGCCGCCCACCCGCAAATGGCCCCTGGGGGAGCTGCAGAGAGCACGAGGGCAGCCTTTGCGCCAACAGAGGCTCAGCAGTGTCTCTCGGGCACTTGGCTGGCACCAAAGGCCACCCACCGCCTGTCTCTCTCGGGTTCAGCTGGGTGCAGCAGCCGCCAGCCTGGCAACGGGGAGCAACAGAATGCCACCTTCATGGCAACCGGACCCCGCAGCCTCTGACCCTCAGGAACGGGGGCCACCAGGGAACAAAAATACCCCCCCGCCCCCAGTGGGACCCTGACAGATCTATTGCCACCACAATAGCCTGGCCCCTTGCAAGCAGGTCTGAGTTTGTACATCTTCAAGTAGTCCTTGACTTACAATCACAATTGAGCCCAAAATGTCTGTTGTTAAATGAGACAGTTGTTAAGTGAGTTTTGCCCCATTTTACCACCATTCTTGCCACCGTTGTTCAGTGAATCACTGGGGTTCTTAAATTAGTCAAACTGTTTCCCCGTTGAGTTTGTTTATCAGAAGGTCCCAAAAGGGGATCAGTGGCACCCCCCAGGACCCTGCAACTGGCATTGCCAAGGGTGTGAATTTTGATCACATGACCATGGGAAGGCTGCAATGGTCATTAAGTATGTAAACTGATCATAAGTCCCTTTTTTCAGTGGTGTAGTAACCTCAGTTACTAAATGAATGGTTGCAAGTTGAGAACTATGGAACTAAGCTTGTCAATCGAAAGGTCAGCAGTTCAGTGGTTGGAGTGGCTCCCGTTACTTGTCCCAGCTTCTGCCAACCTAGCAGTTTGAAAGCAGGTAAAAAAATGCAAGTAGAAAAATAGGGACCACCTTTGGTGGGAAGGGAACGGCGTTCCGTGCGCCTCTGGCGTTGAGTCATCCCGGCCACATGACCACGGAGACGCCTTCGGACAGCGCTGGCTCTTCAGCTTTGAAACGGAGGTGAGCACCGCCCCCTAGAGTCAGGAACAGCTAGCACATACGTGTGAGGGGAACCTTTACCTTTTACCTTTTTAGCTGAGAACTACCTGCATTTGACCCAATTGATATGAAAGAAAAAATAGTTAGCAGGTTAAAGAACAGCAAAGTTAAAGTTCAAAGTGCTCTTTTAACCGTCTGTTATCGTCGTTTCCTCGCAGAAAGTCTAAAGTATGCGGTTTCTTATTTACCACAAATCACCCCCGACCCTCATCTCTGAGTCCTGGGTCAAATACCCCCCTTTGGTTCTTCATCATGAAATGTTTCCTTAGCTTTTTCACTGGGAATTTTCCCAATAATCGCATCTTTCCATATTTTTAATTTTTGTTTTTAATTCACTTTTGAATGTTTTTGGTTAGTTTTTTGCCTCTGTTTCAATGTTCTTTTGAATTTTGTATTTTAATCTTTGAATAAAATAAAACTGAACATAGAAAAAAAGGAACGGGGGCCACCAGGGGTCACACACAAGAAGGAGACACCCCCCAACACACACACCCGCCTGCTGCTCGCTGCCCTTCCTCCTTGGGGCAAATCAGGGTGTGGTTGTGGACACGGGGTCTGCCTGAAAGGGAGGGGGCATTGCTGAGAGGGCGGGGAAGGGCCCAGAGTGAGCTGGATGGGGCAGAGGAGGGGGAGGACGGAGGGGGCCACATGTGACTCTTGACGTCAAGAAAGCTCAACCGAGGCTCAGGGCAGCTTCCTGTTTATGATCCTCTCCCTCGTTCTCCCACCCAGGAAAGCTCAGGGGGGGAAGAGGAAGCGCTACCCCTCACGGCCTCTCCTAGCGTCTTCACGGTTTAAATAGGGCTAATTGAATGTCGGCTGGCAGCCCCCAGGGGGAGGGCCTTCTCTGTGGGGGCACCTACTATCTGGAATGAGCTCCCCCCGGAGATACGGAGGATCCCGGATCTATGCACCTTCCGCCATGCTCTCAAGACCTTTTTATTCCATCAGGCGGGCCTGGCCTAATTTTTTCCCTTTTTCGAATGCAAATTTTAATCTGTTTTAAATTAGTGGGGTGTTTTAAATCTGTCTTCGGCCAAATTGTTTAATTCGGTTTCATTTTGCTTTTAAATTTTGTATTTATGTGTTTTATCTTGTGGCTGTTCACCGCCCTGAGTCCTTCGGGAGGAGGGCGGTATATAAATCAAATAACAAAAATAAATAAATAAACGTTAAGCATGTTTGGGTTTATTGTCTCAATTCCCCCCACCTTGGAGGGTCTCTGAGCTTGGTTGCTTTCTTGCAGCTGGTTCATCACCCAACTAGGTAACATCATCAGTGAACCTGGTTACACACTCCCCCCCCCAGCACTGATGATGTTCCCTAGTTAGGGTCATGAAACGTCTGCAAGAAAAAAGCCAAGCTGTAACGCTCTCTACATGGGGCTCCCCTTGAGGAGCACCCGGAGGCTCCAACTGGCGCAGAGTGCGGCCGCGCGGGTGGTTATGGGAGTGACATGGCGCTCCCATGTGACCCCCCTCCTGCGCGAGCTGCACTGGCTCCCGGTGGTCTTCCGGGTGCGCTTCAAGGTGTTGCGTTACCACCTTTAGAGCGCTCCATGGCTCAGGACCTGGTTATTTACATGACCGCCTTCTGCCACCAGTAGCCTCTCACCGGCCAGTACGCTCCCACAGAGAGGGGCTCCTTGGGGTGCCGTTGGTAAAACAGTGTCGACCGGCGGCCCCCAGGGGGAGAGCCTTCTCTGTGGGGGCACCTGCTCTTTGGAACGAGCTCCCCCCGGAGATACGGAGGATCCCGAATTTACGCACTTTCCGCCGTGCCCTCAAGACTTTTTTATTCCAACAAGCTGGGCTGGCCTAACTCTTTTTAATTTAATTTTTTAATTTGCTTTTAAAAAAGGGGTGTTTTAAATTAGTATGGGCCAAATTTGTTTAATATGTTTTAAATTGTTTTTTAAATTTTGTATTGTATGTGTTTTATCTCTGGCTGTTCACCGCCCTGAGTCCTTCGGGGGAAGGGCGGTATATAAATCCAAGTAAACCTAGACCTAAAAAAGCTCAGAGAGCAACAAGGCCCCGAGCTACAAATCTTCTCCTTTATCAAGAGTTTCTTGGTCTGCCTGAAACAGGAGTCCAGCCACACTTAAAACCTTCGCCTGGGTTCACACAGAGGCCTAGTCATGGTTTGCTTAAACACCGATTGCCGGGGCTAACTGAGCTCACACATCACGGCAAGCCAAAGTCACCCTGCATTTTCTAAAGAGCCCTTGGAGCAGCACCCCAACAACCCCCACGGGTTCCTCTGGAGTTGGCCGGTCTTAAAATTGCCAAGCTTGGAGACCCCTGCCTTAAACCACGGTCTGCTCCGAGCTCTGCCATGGAATCTGCCAACAGGGAGGGCCATTTTCAAACTTGCTCAGAGTGGAGAAATGGGATGGGGGGTGGGGGCTTTTTTTGTTGAGTTTGTATATTGAGGTTTTAAATTTGTAAATCCCCCCCCCCGAGTCATTGAAAGTGAGCGGGTGGCCATATAAATGTTCTTAAATGAATAAACAAAGTACAAATGGAAAGAACAGGAAAGATGTGGTCGTGGGGCACAGGAAGATGAGTTGAAATCAAGGTAAAACCTATGAGATTCCCTCCCCCACTTTTTAAATGTGAACAGCTTGAAGTGCCTTTGTGAGAAAACATTCACAGCCAGCTGAATTGGAGTTAAATCCAGTTTCTGTCCACTGGTTTATCTCAGAGATAAGAGAGTCCTGGTCAGTCTCTCTCTCTCTCTCTGGCCCCCAGTGAAGAAGTGGAGGGGGGGGGCAAGAAGAGTGAACAAAACTCCAGGATTGGAATAAGGGGGGCAGGGAGAGGGTAGAATTTCGGCACCAGGCCCAGCCGAAGAAGAAATGCTGCACCAATTACAGAAAAATCCTTTTATCTACAAACTTGAATCTACAAACGTTAGAAAAGAGAAATACGTACAAAAGCAAGAGTTAATAGTAAAGGTGCTTCAATATTTGTTTTCCTGATACTGTGGGGAGGCCCCACTTTGGACGGAGGACGGCACCTTCAAATTCAGGGTAGAGGATCAGCCATCCTGGAAAACGGGGTGTCTGTGTGTGGGGGTGCCCAACTTGGCAACTTTGGAAAGGAGGTTTGTGCTGCCCCAGAGTCCAGGAGTCGCAGCTCTTAAATTGGGCCCCCGGGGGTCTCTGGGTCCTCCGAGGTGGTTGAGAGCTGCTGCAAACACTGGCGGATTTCATCCGGACTGCGGTAGACCTTCTTGGTGCCCCGGGGCAACTGGCGGCAGGACGAGAGGTTGAGGTAGCTGAGGGCAGGGCAGCTGGCAATCAGGGCCCTTGCGTGAGGAAGAAGAAGAGGGGGAATTCCCATTAGGGCCATTACAGGGTTACAGTCCTCAACTTACAACCACAAATTCTGTTGCTGAGACAGTTGTTAAGTGAGTTCTGCCCCATTTTTCAACCTTTCTTGCCAAAGTTCTTAATCAAATCACGGCAGTGATTAAGTTAGTAAGACGGTTGTTATGTCAATCTGGCTTCCCCAACTGGTTTTGCTTGTCAGAAGGTTGCAAAAGGGGGGGGGGGCACTGCAACCGTCATAAATATGAGTCAGTTCCTAAGCATCTGCATTTCGATCAGGGGACCACGAGGCGGCTGCAATGGTTGTTAAGTGGGAAAAATGCTTTTTTTCAGTGCCGCTATAACTTCAAACAGTCACGAAACAAACCGTTGTAATTCAAGGGCTGCCCACATTCTTTTCCACCTTGCAAAAGGCCTCTGTAGCCGGTGGGGTGGGGGTGGGGGGACTCTGGCCATGTTGCAGCAGAGCTGGCTCATGAATTGTGGGAGTCAAAGTCCACCGGTCGGAAGGTCGCCAGAGATGCCTGTCCTGCTCTCTAGGCATCGTAGAGCCCCCTCCTCCATCCAAACAGAGTAGACTAGAATGAGCCGGAAGGGACCTTGGAGGTCTTCTAGTCCAGCCCCCTGCTGAAGCAGGAGAACCTAGCTGTACCATGTCAGACAAGTGACTGTCTAGATCAGGGCTGTTAAACTCGATTTCATTGAGGG